TTTCCCAGGCTGTGGCGCGTGGGGGTTTAGTCCCTAAACCCCCGAGTTCCCCCCCGACAAATGCTCGGTGGGGGATTTTGGGGGGGTGGAGGTCCACACATCCTTCAAGCTACCAAGGTTGAGAAACTTGCTCTAGGTCAACTATCTCTGCCTGTGAACTCTGCTTTGCATTCTCAAAATGTTCTGTACTAGCAAATGTTCACATGCGGAATATACTCTAAACCAGTGTTTCTCAAACTTGGGCACTTGAAGACGGGTGGACTTCAACTCCCAGAATTCTCCAGCCAGCATGCTCTGAATGGACTAATATCCTCCACATTCATGGAGCGTACAATGGTAAAGCATAGCAAAGCAAATTGTTTAGATTGCTAACTGGGGAATAGGATAAGAAGAGGGAAAGAAATATTTCCCAAGCTATCCTGACCTCAGCAAATCTTCCCATTTTCTTATCCATTGGCAGGGATGTGGGGGGGGGGGGAATCCTTGTGGTAGGCTCCTCATTTGGGGATATAAAAGAGAGCTTGTGTTTTCCAGGCACGGGAGTGCAGTGGGAAAACCTGATGAAGGCCATCAGCGTAGATGATAACTTCACAATGGCCCATGTCCTGGGTATGCTACTCCTGGATTCTGGGATGTATGGCTTGGTGGCTTGGTACATGGAGACTGTATTTCCTGGAGAATATGGCATTCCACAGCCCTGGTATTTCTTTATCATGGTAAGCACTGGGCATCAGTATTTATTCCTTCTCCTACATGTTTGGATTAATTCTTTTATCAGGGAGAACAGTTAACCAACATACATTCCAAGCCGTGTGTTAGTAAAGGCATTTACAATTCTAGCCATTGCTTTGTCAACGTTGATATGAGTTGTATTGTGAGCACTTAAGGTGTCTAGATCTTATCCTTGTAAGGGATTGTTAATCAGGTTGAGGACAAATCCTCCTGTAGAAAATCTATCTGTGGGACAACTAAGAGTCAACACCAACTTAATGGCACATAATCAATCAATAGACTATTAAGATTAGAAATGCATTTCACAGTAACATGTACTTTGGGCTTTTCATGTGTGAATGTTTGAAAAGCCTGTCTTTGGCTTTCTGGTTGGAAAGGTGGGTTTCAAAGCCTGTAGAAATGGGTTTGCTGCTTTTAAAAGCCCTGTGTGATGAACATTTCCTGCTGTAGAGGAGGAGAAGTTGTAGACTTTCAAAAGAACCTTCTGATTTTCCTCCTTGGATCAGTTCTTTAGAAAGGAGTGATGGTTTCTCTTTTGATACTTTAGCCTTCTTATTGGTGTGGGAGCCCCCAGACAGTTTTGGGGAAAGAGAAGGAAGAAGAGGAAGACCCAGAAAAGGCCTTGAAAAGTCAATTCATAGAGGAGGAGCCTTCAGACTTGGTGTCAGGAATAAAAATCAAGCATCTTTCCAAGGTGAGCTCCTGCTGGTTGCTTCCCTCCTAAGTACAAAATCTGGATATGGTTGTGGCAGTTGGGTTGTTTGGGAGGGCTTCTTTCATGGACAGATTAAGTTGTGACTTTTAGACCACTTCCTAAGAAAAATAGGCATGTATTTGTTTGAGCAAAATAAAACGCTGTAGAACCATGTGGGCTTTCCAGAAAAGAAAACAAGGTGCTCGTGTTGCAGTGGGAGCCACAGATCTCCCATAAAACTGGCCGGGGTTGTACAAAGAGCTCCTTCAGGAAGGAGTTCTTCTTCTTGCTTCTCTCTGCTGACATAGCTAGTAGCTGGAAGAGCTTCCTTCCTATGTGCTTATGTGCACAGAATCTTCCTCCAGCTACTGGATGCACCAAAGGGGGAGGCACCTGGGGAAATCTCTGCATCATGAGATACCTCTCAAGGCATGTTCTGGACCCCTGACCCCAATTCATGCCCATAAAACCCAAGTGGCTCCTGAAGGTCTTATTTATTTTAATACAAGTACTTTTATGCCCCTTCAGACATTTGACTCTAAGCAGCATAACTTGGATATAGTAATGCTTCCAGGGCATTTTGGCCGAAGCCGTTGTAGAAATAGGCCCTCAAATGTCTCTGTCTTTATCTTTCTTCTTGCCTTTCTGCAGGTGTTCAAGGTGGGAAACAAAACCAGAGAAGTTGTGAAGGACCTGACTCTTAATATGTACGAAGGGCAGATCACTGTCCTTCTTGGACACAATGGGGCTGGGAAAACTACCACGCTGTCCATGCTGACAGGTGAGGCTGGGCCTAGCTTGGATCTGGAACTCAGGCAATATCATTTAAGCAGACAGTTGGCCTCTGATTCCCAATGTCCTACAGCTCCCATATGAACAAAAGAAACAGTATCTTTTAAACAGGATTCTAAGAAAACCTTAGTTTTACTGGAGAGCTGGAAGCAGAGTCGGTCCTACTGTTGTGCAGCGGGCATGAAAAGGCAGCAGCTTCTTGGCAAATTCATTTGTTATTGTTATGTTTGTTGCTGGGGAGGAGAGATGGTGCTTAGTCATGTTAAGAGAGATGTCTGACCCTCAAATTAATTCATCATCTATTCTAGTTGGAATTACAAAGAACACAGGGCTCGCAAAGCATCTAGAGCCATGCTTCTCAACCTTGGCCACTTTAAGATGGGTGGGGTTTAAATTCCACAAATTTCCCCCCACCATA